ATGAATTGCATTCTTGGCTTGTTCAACAAAAATTAATAGCATTCAACAGAAATTAGCGTTGAATTCTTATGTTTACACAGCAGAAATTGAAAAATACATGTACAAATGATAATGCAAAAACTAGAATATTTTATGCTTCAAGAAAAGATTTTCTATTATTTTGATAAATGTGTACAAATGATATTATGCTAATTCAGCGCCAAATTACGCGCGAGATAATCTTCCTAATATCTTTCGTGCGCTTTTAGCGTAATGATTGGCACGACTTCAATGTGATATACTTAATGAACTACCAGCAACAGGTTACACGTCTATCGCATAATTAAGGTCCACAAGTCTCATGTTGACCGGCGAAGTTAATGACTTAAGAAACTCTAATTACATACCTAGTAGCTAAACTGTCTCCAATCGGGGCATTAAACTATAATGACAGAATTCATATCGATTGTCTTGATACTGGTCAACTTTATTATTATTTTTATACGCATAGATAATTATTTTTGAATATTTATGCATTATTTCTTGATGAAATTGTATATAATAGAAACAACATAAAAAATATTACATAAAAAAAGAGGAAAAGATTTAATGATTTTTTTGTGTTGCTTAATGACAAATTAGTTTCTTGAAACGTATCATCATATTTTACTTTTCTTACAGAAGAAATAAAAAAAACTATAATTATTTGTCTAACGTGGTTTAAAAGTCAGTTTGCAAGTTCATAAAATAGATATATATTGAAATTATAACAAACAAGTCAACATTAAAAAAAAACAACATTAAAAATGATAAAAAATAAAATAAAAATTATATGAAAATATTGCAATGAATATGATTTAATGCAGTTTCTTAAAATGAAAAATATATCGAATCATTAATGATATCAATTTACGATTTTTAATTTTAGAAAATTTTAGAAAATTTTAGAATTATATTAATTCTTTTTATTATTCTAAAAATGTAAAGATATACGATAAAAGAAATTGTTTAAAATATTTATTTAGAAATTCTGTTACGCGATATTTAGGTAAAAAGAAGAACGCACAAAGGTGAGAATTTATTTTTGTTATAAAAGCGTTGGAAAAAAATATACAGCTGCTTTTTGAAGTGATAAAAGATATTTGAAAATTGATAAAGATAATACGTTGTTTCTTTAATCGCGTGATTGATTTTAATAATCAGTATTACCGTCGGTTTCCCTCGATGCGTCGTGTTAAATTCTTCCTTGGATATCGCGCTGACGTGCTCCACAGCTAATTGCGTCCAGGTAGTCATTGTTAGAATCGTTCAAATAACTTTACGAATATAATGAAAAAAATTTTATTCGCATTCTTCGGTGAAGTGCACCGAATAGGCCGTAGTTCGGAAGAAATCGAAAATCCCGACGGTGGTCGAACGAATCGGCCGTTTGACCGTCCTAGGAGAGTCAGCAGTCGCAACTGAGTCTGCTTTAATTAGTTATAAATAAAGGCAAGCAGACAAGCAGGCAGGCATCAGGCCAGAATGGGAACCTATTGACATTCCCCAGCGGCATTGATGTGACACTTGTTACACGTGAAAAAGAAACGCGAGCGGACGCTGACAACGACGTCGCGAGACGTTCTCTCTTGTTTTCGGCCCGGTTGAACTACTTCGAATACTTCGAATACTTCGATTCGAATATTTGCGAATTATCCGCTCGAGATATAAAAAGATTTTATACATATTTGCAATATTAAATGTCTTTGCTTTATGCGTATTTCCAATATTCAATATCGAATATTTAATTGTGTGAAAAAATTATGTGATCTTTCTTTGACACAAATTATTATTGGTCAAAGATTTGATGAAGTTACGGATGATTTTATCATCTTGTCTCTTTCTTTTCCAGTTGAAAAAATCGTCAGTACTACAAAAATATAGTAGATTCGCTTACCGTATTGGGACGTCTTATTATCTTCTCGGGATCATCTCCTTCGAAAGCGTTGAGTTGTTGCACCGCAGCCTCCACGCTCAGGACATTCCAATTCGACATTCTTCGCATATCCATGATGACGAAATTATGAAGACGAGACAACTGATTAGAATAACGTCTCAAGGTACGAGCAGCAAGGAAAGGGCAAACAGGCAACGAAGCAATGAGCGGTTTTCACGCTGTTATTTTGTAAGCCACCTAGCGCATGACGAACGCATGTAAGGAAAGTTCATTAATGCAAACAGCAAGAGGAAATCAATTTGGGATGGAATGATATCACAGTCTTTTTGCACTTGCAACAAAACTCCCTGTGACACTTGAGAAATTGGAACGTGAATCCACGAACAGAATCGCTTTTCGCTTAGGGGCGGCTTCATATAAATATTTTTTATATTACAATCGGAGAAACGCACGTTCATACGATTTTCGTGCGATTTTTCTTTTTTTTCACTCCCGCGAGACACGGTAACTTAACTCCGGTTAACTTAACTCCGTCACGTTTTCACAGTCGCGAAGCCACAGCCGTTGCCGCCGTTTTTCTACAAAGTTTCGGATGGATTCGAATAATTTCGAGCTCGGATCAGATTCCCGACTTTTTCATCATGCATCTAGCTTATTAATCGAAAACGAGTCGTTCGATAGGCGGAAAGTAGCGTACTCAGTCATCGTGATGTTCGTGTAGACGAGTCCGTCTGCGTTCTGCGAGTCGGCGAAGAAAAATGTAACTAAAATAATCGCGTGTTTCTCGCCGCTTTCTCAAAATAGACCCACTGGAGTGCTCCGCGAGCGCAAGCACCTCGTGCAGGCGAATCATTCGAGCGAGAAGGAAAATTGGTGTATTTTTTTTTCATCCACCAAGTTTGCCAAGAAAAAGAGACGTTTCTTTTTTACATCGTGAAAACAGAGACAATGGACCACTCGCATCCGCTTCCCTTTTCTGTCCCCATGTAAAACCTCGCTCGTAATTTTTGCCAAGAGCTAATTAGCGCTTTCTCACATATATGTGGATTCACATCCTTAAAATGCGTTACGCGTGTTTCTTCGAGGGTGTACACACATTATTTTTTAAATGTTTCTCGAGAATATCCAAGTGAATATGAAATATGAAAAAATTAAATGAAATTATTGTTATCGAAAGGAAGAAAAATTATTTAGCGATAAATAGATCCGCTTTTATTTATCACCCTGACAGATAATGAAATATCAAATAAATACCCTGTATTTAAAAAGTTATTATGATTCTTGCATATTTCAGGAAATGCTTTTTCCCCCCTCTTGCTAAGCTGCCAACAAATGCACTCGTGACTCACATTCATGATTCACATGATATCACATTGTTATTCTGTGAAGATAAAGAAGAGACTTTTTCCCTTTTTTCTGCAACTACGAAATATTATCTGATCAGCAAAATTGCGAATCTTATTTTCTCGTTTGTATTTCACTCAAAAATCATTTTTAAACACGCTCGTACAAGTTCTCTGGTATTTTTTGATTCTAGTTTAAACATTTTCTGTAAAATTGAAAAATCTTCTTACGGAAAATGTATTTAACTAATTAATTTCTCAGTTCACGCAAATTTTGGACGAAATTTTCTTTTAATGAATGGGCTCCTCCAATATCGTACGAATCATACGAAGGTCAAATCTTCGGCATCGCGATTCTCCGTTGACCGGAATCCAAGCGAAAACTTTTGGCATCCTGCCGTCTGCAACTTGATTAATTAAGGTCGCGCTTGATGTAAGTACGATGGCCAAGACATGTAATTTTTATTAATTCTCGATCTCGATCAAAGATGGCTTTTATTCTTCTACTGTCCAAGTTATTAACATATTGAGAACTTGATTATCTGATAGTATCCTGTTGTCAAAATAATTTTGTGATATTTAAAAATTAAATAATTTGATATTTCAAATTTTAAAATTTGTCAACTTACCAAGGTTTCATTTTAATGATAGATTAGAATATAGAGGTTTGTTGTATGAAAGAATTCAATGCTTCCTCTAATGGGAGAGATACTCTTTACAAATAGAATGAAACCGGTTCTAATGATGAATAGCAGTATAACATCCCACATCAGCCTGCATTCGTTTTTATATCTTCGATAGGGATAATCACTAATTTATATCTTCAGGAATTATACAAATATACAATATACAAAATACAAAATATACAATATACAAAACTGGATATTTATTTATTAATTGTGTTAGAATGGACGCGAATGCACATCGTCGTGCACTTGCTAAATTCAAAATTGAAAATTTCATCAAGTTACTTCATTTAAACACTTTCGAATTTTATTTTCACAGTGGACTGTTATAAACGTTCGGTGTAAATAAATAAATTTTTATATCTCACAGGGAAAAATTGTTCGTCTAGAAAACGAGATTGCATAGGAATTGCGTATCGAATTATCGATCGCGCAAGCGCTCGATATTTCTCGTTATCTCTTCGTTTGGAAATATACATCGAGGAAGTTATAAAGTCACGCACTTAGACAATAAGATGTTACGTAAATCTTAATGTTTTTTGTTATCGGCTATGAAAGCTGATAAACATTATATCGATAAACCGTATACGCGATTTATGTCGTATTCGCTCGCGACATCCGTTGACGCGACTTGGTGATCATCCAAGGAACAACGTCTAATTATCGACTCGCATTTGATCACGCAAATTTAACATACATAACTTACAACGAACTACGCATCTGATTTCTCGCTATTTTATTAATTTACGACTAGTCAGCGAACAGTCAACGTGACATAGATAAGATTAATAAATGACAATGTGACAACTTGCTATCACGCGAGAAGAAAGTAATTATGCGATAACTCCGCAATAATTTCATAATTTTCGAATCAAAAAAGTCAATCAAAGATTAAGCAGATAATACGTATATCGATATGATAAAATAGAAAGTATTAATATGAAAAAAATATATTGTAAATATCGGTTGAGTTGTTTTCTCGTCATTTAATTTTATTATCTAATAAGGCTGCAACGAGCGTATCTTGATTAAATCGAGATTTAATAAATAGAATTTTGAAAAAATTTATGAACAAATTTTTTTTAATTTGAAACGCTATACATTATTATAAACATCCGTTTTATTTTTTGTGCAAATTGTTAAATTAAAAACATATTGTTTTATCTGTAAAATTTACAACTGCTGATAACGTGACAACTTGTAACCGTTTGTTTTCTGCGATTTTCAAATACTTTTCCAAACAAAACGCGTTGATACTAATCTTTCTTAAGCGAAATTACAGCTAATAAGACATTTTTTGACATATTATGAAATTCGAAACTTTGTATATTTAAAATAGTGTCATGGCGATGAAGAATAATGTTATAACGATAAAGAATTTAAACGTATATGAGCATATGCGCTGAGTGTTTAGCTAAAATTGAATTGCTAATTAATTTCAACCATGTTTATTTCAAGCGTAAACAAAAACGAAAGAATAAAGACAAAATAACAAAAATAAATATTTAATTTCAGCAAATATTTATTTAAAATCAAGGCAAAATTAATTATTCTGTATACACATGTATTTTATTATTTTATTTTACTTCTGAAAACATTCTATTATTAACACAAGCTGTGTGAAAGCTTTCCGTCTATGTTCGCTATAGAAAAAGTTATGACGAATATTTCGAGAGTCATCCGTTAGATAGCGTTGCGTTCTCGCATACGAATTCACGGTTTCGTCCTTCGTATTTCAATAAGTCACTGGATTTGTAAGTCATAATATATTGTATTTGAAAAGAATGTAATATATATTTTTGTGTTAAATCTGATAGCAATATGCACTCAATATGCACTCTCAGCGTTAATTTCTGTAACTTATTTCTTTTTTTTTAGATAAAAATAATTCGAGTCAAATTATCGTCGAGGAGCTTGTGCCAGAATATGGTCCTGGTTCCCTTCACTTTGTGTGCGACGCAAAATAAATCTGACGTCAGTCCGAAGAATTCCAGTTTCGATCCCTCATGTGATTTAATCCCTTTCGGGGCACAAAGTGCGGGCGCATGCGCGCTCAGATGATGCATCGAACGAGAATTATCGTTTTCCTGTTTAAACTGTCAGGAAAACAGTTATCTGCGGCCAGCCTCTATCGGATAAGCATATCAGTAAATAATGGCTGCGATAAAGTGAGACAAAAATTTATCTAATTGTCTGCCTACCAAAAGACGGCGAACAATCAAGTCCGAGGCTTTCACTCGGGATCGAAAAGTTGCATCTTCGACTCATTTTTACGGTACAAAAATCGATCCCGTTTTCCCGTACGTTTTCGAACATGGTATTTAAGAGGAGACGGAGCGTCAAGGTACGTTTAAATCTGTTCGACACGAGAGAGGAACCGGTCCGCGCCGAAGGATGAAGGGACGAATGCACGTCCGTTCGAAAAGCAGCGCCTTATCGACCTAATCGGACAAACACGCCGCGCGCGATCCGCATCCTCGACTGCGCATCCTCGCCTCTTCTCTTTCTCTCTCTCTCTTTCGGCGGGTTTTCCTTTCCCTTTCTTCGCCTCGTGATCGCGTCGCGTTTCTCTCTTCTTCTCGTGTTCGACCGTTCCGCATTCTCTCCGTTCTAGCGTCGTAAACTAACCCCTCGTCACGCTGACTCCGCCTTTGATGCCCTCCCGCCGCAGGCGAACGCGCGCGCGTTTCGTCCTCGTCGGTCGCGTGTTCCCTCTCGCTTCCGTTCGTGGCCGAAGCGTGGTAACGTGACCGATGGCTATAAAAGGGACCGTCTGCGGCGCAACGCGCGTCAGTCGTTGCGTCGTAGCAGTGGTAGTTACATCGTCGCGTGAGTCACAAGTGAAGCTAATCGAGCACGGAAACGGAACGATAGGAGGCGAACGAGAGCTGACGTTTTCCGGAAGGACGGAGGACGCGACGTGCGTCTCCGAGAAAGACCGTGATCGTGCGTTTAGTCGCCACGGCGTCGATGGTGCCTTTGTCCACGGTACGACACGGCGACATGAAATAACGACGGGCCGTAACGAGTCAACGACGCGACAGGCAGCGACGACGTCCTGATTCCAAGCGTCCGTGCTCAGTCCTCAGTGTAGGCTAGTCGGTCGCTCGGCGGTCGTTGTCACGGTGAGAATCATCCATCCCATCCACCCAGACACCATCTAGAAGACGAGCCAACGGACGACGGTCCGAAGAAAACAACTTCAGAAACGAGAGTTCGCGCCGAAAAGAACAAAGAATCACCCGACGAAGCTCTTCCACTTGTCTCGTTTCAAATCCCGTAATCTGGGCTCCGATTTCACGCGTCGTCTATCACGTCGCGGCGATAACATCGTCTTCCTCAAGGCGACAAGGTCTTCTCCTGCGGCAGTGAGGAGGTTATCTGCCGGTAGAGATCCGGAGAATTCGAGAATTCCCCCGCTCGTCAGTTCGACATTGTCCAGTCCTGTGCGTTTCAATTGGAAAGAACGATTCCCGAGTCAGACGTTGACGTCATCGTCGGCATCCTAATTCTCTTCGTTTTCAAGGAACGTTTCCGAGGATCTTGACAAGAACGCACAACAACAAATATGGCTGCCACGGCGTCGTACGCGTGCACTCGCAATTGCACGGACGCGGGATACCATACGTCTTACGATGTTCTCGAAGGGACGGACGAGTGGTTGCCATGGCACGAGATCGTGGAATATTTCTCGTACAATCCATGGATATTTTCCCTGCTGGGCAGCACAATGGTCGGCCTCACGGGCATCTTCCCCCTGTGGCTCATCCCCATCCAGGACGGCGTGGATCTGAAAACCGGCGGTTAGTTCCTTTTGTCCAATATATCTGTCGTTGTCCTACGTAACGCCGATTGATGATCACGGCATGAAAGTCTAATCTCTGCGATATCTAAACTGCTTTGGATCTCTCTGAATAATTTTTTCGAATTACGATTAAATATCTATATTACGATTGAATATTAAGTTTAATTTTCTGGTTGATTTTCTTGTTTTTTTTTCTGCCATCTTAATAATTAATTTTATTTTTTATATAACAAAAGGAAGAAATAAACGTCAAGTTTACTTTCTCGTGGCCGAAGTTTAAATTTTTTGGCACAAGAATGGAATATTGGCAATACTGGTAAAAGACAGAATATTCGGTTTTTATTTTTTTATATATAAATTTAAGATCTTTTTTGTTGACAACTAAGTATATATCGTTATTTTTGACGAACTTGAAATTTAATCAAGTCCAAAATTAGAATTACATATTCCTCTTTTAATAACTCGATAATCTCAAATTAATGATAATCAATAACTTCCTTCTCACAAAAAAATATAATTTTTTATTTTGTTCTTGATAATTAGTTTTATATCTTCGGATGTGTACAACAAAATTTATCGCGATTTCCTCTATTTTCTCTATTTCAGCATCAGAATTATAAATATAATTTTCAATTTTCCATTCCATTTTATTATTTAAACTGAGATTTTACAAAGATAACTCCAATATTCTTAAAATGAAATATTGTAGAAACTAATTGTAGAACTAATATTTCCATATTGTACAAGGAATTTATGGAATTTATTGAACAAGAAGTAAACAAAGACTTTAATCGAAGAGTTATCAAACTTTCGTAGAAAAATAAAAGTTAAGTATAATAAAAAATATAAGCTAACTAAAATGAAAATAAATTTATCAGCCATAAGCTTAATCATTAATTACTACGAGATATTCGAATACATTTCCCATATCAGGATACAGTATCAAAGGACACAAACCTCACGTCATATCTAACGCCATTGTGTTGCCGACAAAAGAGGACATGTCATTGCAAATTCATTGCTCTATACATTTCGCATAAATCTGAGAAAGTTTTTCAAGGAAGAAGCAGCGTAGAATCGTAAAAGCATTTTCTCGGAGTAAAACGCAGATATTGAAAGACACAATGCGGCGCAAAAAGAAGAAAGATCGCAGTGTTCACGTCGCGATTATCACTTATTTACATATTCGCGACGTAGGACGACACGTATTCTGCGATGTCATGTCTGTTTTTTCGCGAATCAGATTGATGGGGCAATTGCGGGACGATCATCGCGATAGCGGAGATTAACGTACGGCAATCTTGACGAAAATTGACGATCTGATTCGTTGTTATAAGTCACACGATAAACTTGTACACGTGGCTAAAGTCGCAAGACTTGATTGACCTTGGCATTAAAGGATCATACAGAGAGCAGAGATTATCAAAATATTTCTTCGTATTGTTCTATCGTATACTTTGTAGCGTTTAATATAAAAGATAAGTAAATTGGATATTAAGTTCTTATTTTGATTGATCCATTCCTAGGCGATTTATTCTACTACTTCTCGACTCAATCAAAAGAAAATTATTCTCGACCGTTATGCTTCCTCGGAGAATTCGAAATTGTGTTTTCGAATACTCGCTTTCTTTAATTTACATATTATTGTATACAATTAATTCTAATACATTCGAATAAATGAGGCTGATTCTAACATGATAGGAAAAAAACACCAAATCGAAAAGTATCTTCATTAAGCTGGGGCAAAATATCTTTTACCTAATTTCACATCGAATCAACTGTTATTATAATTGGAATGCTTCGTGAATATGATATTTGACCTCGATGATACAGAGGATACAATAGTTTCGAACAAAGCATATAGCTTTTGTAAACCAATCCACATAGCTTTGCGTTTAAAAAAATTATTGGCGATATAACTAGGCCACAGCGCAGACTGATGTATGTATTTAATTAGAAATTTAATGGAGCAGACTCTCACTAAAAACGAACAAATTTTTCTATTCTTGTTTATAATTTATTTCTGTTATATTTATCGTATATTTTCATAATAGGACTTAATGATTGGTCTCGATTATTTCCAGTAATATTTTCCATGAAAAATGATACTAATGAAGAAATAAATCTATCGTCGAACTCGATCCTCTTTTTTTACTCTCGTTGTAGAAATCAATTATTGGCCGATATAATTATTCCGTAATAAAAACGAGCGTTGAATTTTCCTTGAGAACGTCCAGAGTGATTATTTGTTGAAACTTTCATTATCGAAGAATTTTATGAACGCGGTTATAAAATAACTCATTTAAATAAATAGCTCACGTGAAACGCAATTTTATTTAATAATATTTATCGCACAATTATATAAATAATACATTCAAACATAATTTTTTCGCTAGTACACTAATTAATGTTAATTACATACAGAAACGAAAGCTACGTATTTTACATTTTGAGAGGAAGCATGATTATATAATCATATGCTCAGAACTATTTCATGCTGAGATAGAAAAACAGCAAATACCTGAAAATATAGAAAGATAAATAAATTAATTAATAAATTGCATATTATTAATTCTTTTCGCACCAGCGAAATAATTTCTTGATTACAAGATTTTAGAGAATTTGTATCAAAAGAGAACCATTGCAGGCAAAACAAAATAAAAGAAATAATAGAAAAGAAATTCTTTCTATTTTTATATTTTTAATAAAACTATGTTTAATTTTACGCAATATTAAATAATTATGCTCGATAAAATTACACAGAAGAAAATAATGTATCAATTGAATTTAATAATGTTAATTTAGTAGGAGTGTTAATGAAGAGATTTTATGCCTATATTATTTTATTAATATATATTTATTTCATGTATTTAAATGTTATATGCATTTAATTTAATAGTAACGTTGATGGATTAACGAGATCAATTTTAATCAGATTTGATACTATGGATACATAATTTTTTCCACGTTATATTCGTGCTTGCTCAAAAACAGATTCGTCATGTATATGATTTAATTACGCACAAAGCAATTGAGAGTTTGTTGTCGATGATAGTTGCCAACATCCTGATGTACAGCATTTCCACCGAGAATTGCGAAATGGGAAATTTGATGAATATGACTCGCTTCATTTATATTTATCGTTCCGATAAGTGACAGCTACGAAGTTCAATGACATTACCAAAGACGTCGACTCTTCTCTGATTTGATAAAGTCAGTCTTACCACGTGGTATAAAATCAATATAAATAAATGAGTCAATTCCGTATGATGAATTATCATACAATGTTTTATTGTGCGATATGAATACCGTGTTGCGGCATATCAGTAGCTAAAAATAAAAATATGCATGTTTTATTTTAGCACAGTATAACACAATTTTTAATCTTGCCTTTCCGAAGGTTGTAAAAAATTTAATAAAAAAAAAAAGAAGTAAAAGAACAATTGGATTACTCATTTTAATATCTTTGCAAACCGTCTCGCGTTTTTCAAAAGTAGAGAAGAATACAGTTATCTTTTTCATCCATTTTACGATATTGAATGTATAACGAAGATGAATTTTAAAGCTAGATTGAGTTACAATACATATTGTAAATTAATTTATTCGATATTTGAAATGTGTAAGTTTTAAAACTTGATTGTTTGGCTTTGATGTTCGTTCGGAGAGATGTTCTTCTACCGGAGGGCGATCGCAATTCAAAAAATTACAAGCTTTGAATCGTTCATATGGTCACAACTAAATGGGGGAAAAAAAAAAGGAAAGCTCGCAACATGTGTTTTCCGGGGAAAAACGAAAAATATATTTTATCTGAAAAAAACGAAAAGTAGATTTTTTTAAAGGTGTAATAGAGCTCGCTGAACGAATACAAAAATATACGCATGTCAAGTACACCGATGTTAAAAATTTCAGGATTGGCATTGTACTGAAATTGTCACAGTGCTTTCGATTGGTAAACCAGTGTCCCATGTTCACGAAAACGCATGACGTCCAAAATTCCGATAGCGTTTCGCGAATTTGCGGGCGCGAATCTATAATAGCGACAATTGGAATCGATCGCGTTCTCAATCGCTATGGACTTTAATTAATTTTTATACGCTCTTTTATTCGCTCTGATACGGCTATGCGAAATGTCCATTTCGCATCCGTTGGTTCCCCCTCCTCCCTCTCTCTCTCTCTCTCTTTCTCTCTGCGTCCACGCGCAAAGATTGAACAATACATTGTTCTTTTTTTTTTCCTCATCGGTTCCTCATAATCGAGATGATGGTTGGCTTCTGCCAGAGATGTACACGTTGATCGTTCAATTCGTAATAGCGAATTTACAGAGAACAAGTGGTTTTAATTGGTTGGCTAAACATGTTTCTGTCTGTGGATAAAATTAACGAATTGTAGTCGGATCGCGGCGGCTTACGTCTCTCTCGCAATTTCAGATATGTCAGCATTATTCTCATTCATTTTGCGAATAATACCGCGGTCCACGTTAGTGCGGCATGTCATAACTTTCTCTATTATCTCGTATTTTCCGAATCAACGATTCCAAGTTATACGAGAGTGAGATTAACAGTAAATGTTACATCGCCCAAACTTTAACAGCGCGAAGTTTGTACAAATGTAGAAAGTTGCGAGAATTTACCCGCTCCCGAATGCGCGAACACAAAAACTCGTATTGCAACACCAACTTTTTCTATCGACGATTAAATTGCACGCCGGCGAGATTCATTCACGCGCCGATCCGGAACATCATCGATTTTTTTCACAAACGTTTTAAGAGATATTTCGCAAAAGATCACACTAAACTTTACATTTTTGCGAACGTGTATTCCGAACTTAAAATTGGAATTCTCGTAGATGTAAATCAATTTAAATCGATCTACGACATTATTGAAATCTCTGCGATTGTTGAAAATATTGAAAATTAAAATTCTTTTATTAAACTTATTAATTTTTTATTCAATTTATCGTTGTCTTAATTTTAGCAAATTAAAGTAAATAATTCAAAAT